AACATTCATCAAGGGTCATTTTCCAACCTGAAGTAATTACATTTCTATCATTTGTTCAATCAAATGTTCTTATTTATTAAGTTGTAATTAATTACGGGAGTAAATTGGTTTACTACAATTGCAAAACATCGAAAGCAAATAATGAAATGACCGTTTATTTAAATACATGTACGTTAACAGAGACCTTGTATTAATTTTTTTGCTCATTATTCTTAAAACCAACTCTACAGCATTCACGGAACTGTTTAAGCATGACTAACATTTGGTATTATACTGACGAAACGAGAAAGAAAGAGAGAGAGAGAGAGAGAGAGAGAGAGAGAGAGAGAGAGTGAGTGAGAGGCGACATACGTATTGATGATTGAGATCAAATGTAAATTATTCGATTTACCGATGGATAATAGCTAGGAAAATAGATATATAAATAAAAGGATAACAGCTGTAAGAAAAGTAAGAAAAATATACGAAGGGGGCGTTGGTGGCTGCAACGTTTAGACGTTGACACGGCGCTCATCACTGTAAAGTAAAGGTCCCGGGGTCGAATCCAGGCGCCCTGCATTCGAACTCGGCATATTTACAAATGGGTTTTTTTTTCAAAAACAGCAGCACCCTGAGAGTTGATATGACCTTTGCTGTTGCGAACCCTCGTAAAAAAATATAAAAATATAACAATATATTTGTTCCACAAATAAATATGTTTAGACAAATACTTTCTACATTCCAAAAACTAATACATTTTTTGCGCATGGTTAAAATAAAGGGTATTGGAAATTATTTCGACTAAAAATATTTTGTTACAGTAATATTGACTCTCATTTTTAGTGAAAATAAAAATTGTTTCATCAACACAATACAATGTTTTTGAGGTTTCTTTTTAAAAATTAAATTATTATTTGTTCTTTCCAATATTTTTTGGGTTCGTTTTAGGGATGGTTAAGATAGTACCGGTTTTTGGTTTAACTAACTAACCATTCAAAGTCTTCGAATTTTGCAGTTCAAACTCAGTAAGATTAAGCCCTGCAAAACTCTTTTTAGAGCCTAGAAAGATTAAAGAAAAATTACTATCTTTATATGTTTACTTCTTAATTTATAACGAATCAAATTGTTAAGAGATCGTGAGATGCGGTCTGGTGTGACGTAGGTTTTAGAAAAACAGTCACTAAACATCACACAAAATAATAGAAAATTTGAATTCTACTATCGAATTTAAAAAAATCCTCTCTCTTTCCGGCAAATTTCGCCAAAACATATTTCTTATAACTAACTAATCTGTTACTATATTGGCAAAGAGCTCGATTTTGTCGTTTTTAAACTGAACTTGTTTCAAATATTTTAGTTCATTTATTTTCACCTTGATAAAAATTGATTTTTCGGTATTCATCGCCTATATAGTCAGAATAAATAGGTAGTCTGCGGATAGTATAATAATTTTGTTGGTACAGAATATTCTGTGGAGAATAGTGTTTATTTTTTGAACTATTTAAATAATATATTTAGCTCGAACAACTTTGTATAAATATCATGTTACATCTAGAAAATAAATAATTCTCATGGAAATTTTAGGTATTAGGTACAGAGATGCCTCAAAGTTACAGTAGGAATACATTTCCAACTTCGACTGATTCATATTACTTGCAATAAACTCCCACCGTTTGTTACGTAGCTTGTTAGGCGGGCCCTTTTATTCGTCAGCTCGGCTCCGCTACATCCTCTCAGAGACTAGGTCGAGTTTTTGAATTCCTCCCTATTTCAACCCCTCTCGTTAAGCAGCGGGGCGCCTTATTTCTCAACTCGTTACTGACTCGGGGTGGGAGCGAAGATTGGACGGGGGGCTATGAGATTATTGTCGAGCCACTCCTCCACACATCCCCTTCAATCCAGCCCAATTTCAGTATTCCGTAACAATTTTTGAAAAGTGTAACGAAAGACCAACATATTTTTATTAGCAGTTTAAGAAAAAACTCAAATAAAATCAATTTACCTGTCTACCTCGATCAGAGAATCATTTCTTTCACTGGACTTGTTTTTCCAATTAGCTTTCAACTAGAGAAATTCTTTTTAAGAAAGTTTCTATTTGGACATAAAATATGCGACCAATACCAAAAACATCACATGTCATGTAAAAACCGGTCGATGTATTCGACTAGATAGTTATGCGTTGCGGCAGTTGGCGTCGGATCAGGTTGTTGGACTTGTTTATCCAACTGTTTCTTATGAAAAATAATAGAGAGATAAAAATTCAGATATTTTCCGTTTCAAAGCTATTTTCATCTAGGAGTTTTATTTTCTAAGTTGTATCTTATATTTGTTTTCCTGTTAAAGAGAACTTTTATAAATTACAACGTAGCAACAACGTTCAGCTTTATTGTTAATAAGAGACTTTTTTCGTCAGAAGTGGATTTGTATGAAATTTTTTTTTATTCTTGTGAAAGAACTAAATACGTACATTAAATATTTTACGTATCTCCAGGAGAAAACTAAATATCATTAAATTGAATCATTTTTATTTGTTAGCCTAAAGGCTGGCAAATTATATTGGTCATTATCAGCCCTTCCTTTGCTTTTCTTTTCTTGTATTCTTTATTATTACTATTTTATCTTTCTGTTTATCTAGCAAGGTTATGGTATTATATGGCATAATGATAACCGACTTTCACGATTCTTTATCCTACAGCTATCCTATCTGTACCTCAGTGCCTCGTCAATTGCGGATAAAATAATACAAATATCAAATAAGGAACATACATAAACACAGAAACACGATAAAACATGATAATTGGTTAACGTTCAGACCACCACAGAATATTCTATAGTCCTCGAGGTATTTAGGCATGACCCTATTATTCATACGAATAAGTCATATTTAGACACCAAAATTGTATTATCATTGTGTCATTTACTTTAGTCTACATGTAGTAACAGTTAAAACTGAAAAATTCAATAAAACCGTTAAAATATAATATATGTAATTGTAGATGAAACGCAGGTACAAATTAATATTAAAATGAAAAAGGAGAAAGAAAAAAAAGGAAGCTTTATTGTAAAAAAGGTAGAATATATGAAATACGGCGCTGTCAATAGACTAAACCTTCACGACCTCCCTTCGTTGCTGGCTTAGCGTAATCAAACAGCCGTAATTTCGAACAAATTTTATTTGCTGTCAACCCTACTTACTATCAGAGTAATTAATTGTATTTATCTTACTCTCTTTTTCTTGAGTTGTTCTCTTCGATATTTTTATCTTTATATTTCATTCAGCGATAGTTCAGGGTAATAAGGGATCATGACAAATATTACGTAAGTCTAGTCCAAGTTTGTTAACCTGTATGGTTTTGTGTTGTCATATGGAATATAATATTTTTATTAATTCAAAAAAAGCTATGTAATTGAACTAAACATTATGAATAAAAAGCTGTAAATGAGAAACACATCGGAATCCACGAAATATAAAAGGTTGCTTTTTGTAAACTAATTTTACAAACGTAACTCATTTCTAAGCGTTGAAATAAACGAACTTTTCTGACCTTTGACAGTTTGTTTTATTAGGTGATACACTGTGCGTTTTTTGTAGAGCTTTATAAACTTCGATCCAAACCATCTGTTTATCCAACGGCTGTTTATAATGCGTCGCATACGTTCCAGACTATCATGTGTTATCCAGTAACATTACATTTAAAACTGATATTTAAATAGATAGCAGATGACCATTTTTAACGTTATTGTTAAACCAGGAAAAACATAGTGTAAATACTTTACTCCCTATATCTCACTCCGTATATTATTGCAGCAGCAGTGTTTTTGAAATACGATATAAATGTAGTTTTATAATTATGTATTTTTTACTTTGAACAATTATTTTTCAATATCAATGAGTGATTTTTTACAGTGTTTATCTAGACAAGTTATGGTTATATATATGTTATATGTATATTTAACATTAACGTTAAACCACCAGTGTAAATACTTTACTGCCTTTATCTCACTCTGTATATTATTGAAGCAGCAGTGGTTTTGAAAAACGATATAAATTAGTTCTTTAATTAAGTTTTTTTTTACTTTGAACACATACAATATTAACTTAACGCGTGATTTTTTTTCAATATTTATCTAGACAAGTTATATATGTTTGTTGTTTTATATTTTCAATAAGAAAGTCTCCTGTAAATAGACAGGAAAACAAAACAAAAACTCACAATAACTGGAATGACAAACGAGACTTACGTGTTACTTGCAAACAGCAATGTTTAGGAAAATCTCAAACCACGCAATCCTTTCAAACGCCTTCGAATAAGTATCTTCGATTTTGTCTTTTCCAGTCAACACCCAGACTGTAGTTGTGACAAGCCGTTTCGGAGAGAAGTGTGGAAAAAAATTTCTGTCAGAAAACAGGTGAAGCCCGTCCCATTCGTGGGAAAGAGAAAATTAGTGTTCCAGCATGGATTCCCATTCGTTCGTTCTTTCAAACACATATATTTTAAACTTTAACAATGTATGTACGTAATATTTTTTTTATATGTGCATCTTTCTAACATGGGGACAAAATTAGATTTTGGCTTCCGTTTATGGTAATTTCGACTGTATCATGGTTCAGACACAAGTTCAAGAGCCAACGCACCCTTCCAATATAAAAAAATAATAAAACTCAAATCTTTCAACAGAGTACTCGACAGTTTTTAAATATATATTTTTTTAAATATACTTGACATGGTAGTTATTTAATGCTTATGCATATATAGAAGATTTGCTTTTCTTTTTAAAGACTGTAAACATTTTGGGAAAATAATAAGTTATTTAGTACACCAGCATGATTTTATCTTTAAAACAAGACAAAACAACAAGTGGTTTTTCATTGAAGAATTAAATTAAAAAGTAACAGTTTTCACGGCGAATTTTGCCAAGTTTCTTGCAAGAACTTTTCCCTTTCAATTAGTACACCTGGATAGATCAAAAGTTTCAGACTTTATTGTAACAATTTGTTTAACGAATTTTTTTGGTTTCAGGTGAGGTGGAGAGGCTCCTCAGAGAATATAGGCAAAACCAAGAGCTCGTTAGAAACATCGGAGCGCACTATTACCAAATTATATACCCCGTCCAACTTAGGCACCATGAGAAGATGGGAATCTCCACGAGGGAGGTAGGGACATCCAAGGTAAGTGTAGCCTTTTTTTGTATTTTGTTCTTGGTGTATTAAAGGGATGAAGCAAGTCTATCCCTATGCTGTTTGCCCTTTAGTTGGAAACTGAATTAACATTGCGAAATTCTAAGCAACGGTAGAAGTTAGACTTAATCAGCATTCCAGAGCTGTGTTATATCCTTGAACTTTTGTTTAAGTTGATGTCGATTCGAGTAAAAGCCAACAACAGGCTTTTTTTTTAATTTAGCATCTTTAAAAAAATTAAAATTTTTGTCTCAGTTTAATTCATTTTTGCAAATGTAACATATTTTTGTTCTATGTTTCTAATAATTATTAAAAATAATATTGACAGTAAACATGAAAAGAAAACGATTGTTAAGGCAATAAAGGAGGAAAGAGGTAGAATTGGAAAATAATAAATCTGGAGAGAAATTTCGTATGTTACGATCATTAAAAATGATTGTATCCACATTACTCTGTCAGTTATTTGATCATTGGGCGATGAGACATATCCGACAGATCCCTTTGAAACCAGTTTCTAATCCTCCGTCACCGCCCTAATTGACGCCCGGGGGCCATCACCCTAAGTACCGGACTTAAGTCGACCCTCCCAACGCTTCCACTGTAATAGGTTCCCCTCCAAGCCCCCAAAATCCAAGTATCGCCCAACTCTGAGGCTCATCTCGTCGCATTGATCTCTAATACATGTTTTGGCCCGCGTTTCGGCCAAAAGCTTCGATCCAAAGATAGACGACGAACGGATCTCCACGGTCTGTCTTCCTCCCGCAGTGGTTCCATCAATAGAATATAACTCATAGTTATGTCTCCTACAAACACTGTTCCACTCCAGTCACTTCATTGTCCCATGGCCATAAATCTTCCACGTTTCCCTAATGGAATTTCAAACGCTCATTAAAACACAATGAGTCGTAAATCCATAGTTTGACCATCATCTTTGGTAAATCTGTTTACAGGAAAATTCGTTAGTATTTATGTCCAGTAACTCGTAGTCGGATAAAAAGTTGGGAACAACTTGACCGATTTAACTTAATTGGAGATCCAGGGTGCCACTGAAAATATACTGTATATATGTACCCAATGAAAAGGCCCACCACTGCTATTTTCTTTACTTTCCGTCCAAATTAGGCCGCAATTTTTTTGGAATGTCTATCATAGAGTACTGCCAATTTGTATATACTCATTTTTCATAATAACTTACTAAAATATATTTTGAAAGAACATTTTTTTTACTTTGGCCTCCTTTGTTATTATCAACTATTAAAAGACTTTTCATTTTTTAATACTGCAATGTCTTTCACATACAATTTTGCTTTTGAAGGCTTTTTGTTTGTATTTTTTTCATCTTGATTATACAAGCAACATTTATCTTTCTCAGCGTTGCCCGTAAGAGTTCTGTTAGGATTTTTAATTACTGTTTACCCAAGAAAAGTATTTGAGCCGTTTTTATCTTGACGAAAGTAATAAACTTCCTGGCTTGTCTTAAGCACGCGGTTTTTGCTCAGTGTTAAAAGTTTTCTCGTTTTTATCACTTTGTAACCTCGTCGTCCAAGAAACTTTGAGGGGTATCCAAAGAAAACGTCTTACACTCTTTTGATTGGAGCGATCTACTTCTCCATTTCTCCTGCAAGTCCTGAAGGTCATGGTAATAACATTGTGTTGTTTTTTTTAGGATTTTATATCAAATTTATTGTTAATCATGAACATGAAACATCTTGGAAGAGTACAAGCTGGTACTTTTATAGTTGCACAGATCAAATTTTTTTTTATAATATTTTTTATAAAAATCAATTATCTTTCTCGAAAAAATAAGATCTGAAACCTTGATTAATTCACTGTATGTTCGTATAATTGAATTAGTAAATTAGTAATAATTTAAACATATAAAAAAATAACAATAATGTATAAAACACTATTGACCTAAATAAGGAAACAATTAGTCACACAATCACGACGATATGATTTATGAGTGCGCAAGCTTCTAGCTTTTGAAATTAAATGTGTTTTTCATCACGGAATGAACGATTTCAAATTGCTCTCGTGTGTAATTAGTGGTTACAAGGAAAATGAATTTTCTCTTTTACCCGCAGAATACAAATAACCCATATTAATTTATTATAATTACAATTAGGGGGCTCGGCCCCCGGCTCGCTTCGCTCGCAAACCCCCGAGGGAGGCAGAAAGAGTGAGAAAGAGAGTGACAGAAGCAGAAAGTGGGAGAAAGATGGAAAAGATCTTATGATAAATAGCTTTTTTATTCTGTGAAAAATTACCGCCCTTGCGGAAAATCTTTTAAAATTTTAATCCAAACTAAAAACGTAAAGTAGTTGAGTTTCGTATTAAAATAAGTACAGATACGAATTACAAATTTCAAAACATTGTTGCGTTTACCCTCTTCCTATCTTTTCCTTCCTTACTACCGTAGGTTGGGAAACCTTGTATTCATTCGGGAATTTAAAACAATTTTTCTCCCACAACATTACAATTTCTACACCCATTTTTCGTTTCAGAACTTTCTGCCATTGTCCTCTTTTAATGTCCATTCCTACACAATCAAGATTTCCACTCGCATTTTGAGTTTCAGACCTTCAGAAAAGATTTGTTTCCGTGTCTGTCTGTTTTTAATATTATAAATTATTATTCTTAGTAGTGGTTTCGTTAGAACAACAACGAATTGGATCTAAATATTATTTGTGTTGTCGATAGCGATTTGTTTGCAGTTTGATCGACCCTGATCATTTTTAATCAACAATTCTCTTTTGCCATTTGTTTATAGTTTCAACAACTAATCAGATATGTAGGGTTCCAATCTTCGTAGAGGTCATTAGATATGTAGAAAAAAAAGAAGAGTCAATGCTGGGTTCACCGAGCTTTCGGCACCCTATAGTGCCATCATCAGTGCTTTCCCAAGGATGAAGAAAACGATTACCATGGAAAACTTGTACAAGTGTTTTGGGTTTGGGGTTATGGAGCAGATGGCCAGCATAATACATTCATGACAGTAAAATCAGACATCTCGCTAAAAATCCATACGACTATAGGTCTAACTATTTTTTTGTTCCGACTAGCAAATTTTTACAGGTAGTTTTGTGATCATACAGAATATATTTAAAACTGAAATTACAGCTATTTACAGAAACTATGTATAAAGGATTAAAATTAATGAGAGTGAGAGGTCGAACCCAGTCGCCTCCGATTGGACTGCTATGATCTTTTAATTATTTATGATAATTTTTTCACTGTCTAATGACCTCTACGAAGACTGGAACCCTACATAGATTATCTACAGGTCGATCAACGAACATCATAACTAATCAGATGATAATCATGTGATAACTGCCTTTCGTTTCTGCCCATTATAAAAAATCTTTAAAAATCTTATTGCATCCAATTAGTAGTTTCATTTATAAATCAAACTCAATTTATTTGTTTAAACGGTAATAAAATTCCTAGAGAAGTAGCACCAATATTGGTTGCAATGTAAATAAATATCGGTAATAAATTTGAATTCTGAAGGTCGTCAATATCTCATTAATGCTTTAAAAGCACACTCACTTCCTTGTACTCTCTCTCTCTCTCTCTCTCTCTCTCTCTCTCTCTCATACAGCACGCGCGCGCGCACACACACACACACGCGCGCGCGCACACACGCACACACACACACACACACAATCAACCAAACTTTGTTTTATTATCTATTGTTAAATCAGATCCAATTCTGTGACCAAAATGTATGTCCTGCCGTTTTTTCGGATCTTCATTTGTTACTAAGTAATTGGCGTCATACTGGAGGGCAAAACCCTACCCGTTGGGTGTTGCGAATGAAGGGTGAAATCACCGTACAATACATGATGAATACTATAATCAATTATTAAAAATCAGGGCTCTGTCGGGTTTTGAACCCAGAACTGCTAGCGTGACAAAGTCGAGTCGGACGCCGTAACTACACGGCAAGAGCGGTCCCCAACGATATTTGTTATTAGCTTTCTCAATTTGCACAAAAACCTAGATAAAAAAGCATTTATTCGTGTATAATATTATCACTACAATAATACTGCATGGGACAGCGGATATCGAATGTTTAGGATATCGACTCATAGTTACCACGCTAGCCAGTTTTGGTTTTAAATCTTAGCTCAAGGAAGCCAATCTTTAGCAACACCCAAAAGGTAGTTGGACTTTATATATGACAGAAATTATTGTAGATTTACTAATAATATATTATAAATTTCAACCAATGTTAGTATTTTAGCAATTGGTTTTTTGATTTTTAAATGTACACATTTTCCTAAAATCTTACTTAGAATGAAAGGATTTCTAAGATGAAGTAAGATAAATTAAATACTTAACCCTAAAATTATTGTGTGGTGTTTAGTGACCACTTGATTGTTTTTTGACTTACTTGATGATTATTTGGAGGTCGTGAGATGCGGTCTGGTGTGCCTTCTCAATACGACAGACAAGAATGTCACATCTACACGGAAAAGAAACACTTTGAGTCCTGAAGATGATCTCAATAAAGTTCGAAACGTTGTCACGATAAAGAAAATGTTTTTCTAAAACCTACGCCACACCAGACCGCATCTCACGACCTTTAAATAACCTAAAATTAATTGTAGGTCTTATGTCGTCCAAATGAGACGGGATTGATTTCGTAAAAAATGAATTACTTACAGCACTGGTCCCTCTCAATAAAAGAGAAAAAAATGAATCGTTGTGCTAACAAACGCTAACAAAGGAAGTAAATTTGTATGCGTTACTAGGTTTGAAAAAGTTTAGTGGATATCCGTGCTCTTCTGTAAGCCTGATATTGCGCTAGGGTGGAAAATATTCCTGTTTTATTTCCCAGAAATAGTACTCTTTTTATTAGAGACATTCGGTAAAACTGATGGTGCGTTCACTTACGGTGATGATAACGTGTTATCGTGGGCCAAAACTATCTTTTTGTTAGGCAACGATGTTTAAACAACCATCACTTGTCTGGTGAAAAACTAAAC